CTCCCTCCCTGACGCAGAGGGCGATGGCTTTGCTGCGAGCGAAGTCTGTGGAGGCTATGTGGTCCCAAGCAATTTTAAGAACTGAATTCACTTTCAGAGTTGGAGGCTCCCCCACTCACTGGCAGCTTCCTGAGGGTCTGCAGTTTTCCCCTCGCTAGGAATTCCTGAGCCTTCAGCCAGTCACAGCCTTGGAAGCCAAAAGGGAGAGAGTTGTTTGGGAGTGAGGGTTGGGTGGAGAGAGGGATTCAAACAAGGCTGACTTTCTTTCATTCCACATTTATTAAATGCCTGTTATGTTTCAGGCTTTAGTGGGAGAGTAGGATAGAGTTGCTACCTTAAAGAATGTATAGTTTGTTAAAGAGATGGACAAGTTAATCAACAATTGCCACAATCACGTGATAAAGTATCTGATAGAAAAGCTATAGGAAGCTATAGAAGGATAAAGGAGGAACCCAGGCTGAAAGGGAAGTCAAGGAAGGCTTCCCGGAGGAGGTGATGTGCACATTGCATTTTAAAGCTAGTGTAGGAGTTTGTAAAAGAAAGAAAGGGAGGTGGAGAGAGCATTCTAGGTGAGGGAGAAGCATGAGCATGAGCTGTTTGAGGCTTGAAACAGCCTGGCACTGGGAGTAGCTGAAGTTAGCCAGAGGCGGGGCTGGGGAGTGGGGGTACAAGTGTGACTGGTGGACTGTGGAGCAGCAGGCAGGGCCCAGGTCCTGGTAGGTCTGCTGGGTTAGGCAAGGTGGGAGGACTTGTCCTAAAGACAACAGCGCTCCATCCAAGTATTGAAGCAGGGAGTGACAGGCCAGATTGGTATTCCTGTACCATGTGTGGGGACGAGGCTGGGAGGGCAAGCGTGGTGCAGGGAGACCTGTGTTCACCTGTGCTTTACGGCTTGCCACTGGCACGTCCCGTGGGCTTTGAATGAGTCAGTCTGTGCAGGGATGCTCATGGCCACAGGCTTCCCGTAGAGGCCTGGCCTGCTGCTCTTGGGTACCAGGGACGTCCTGAGCTTACACGGGGCTGCAAGAACATGCGCACATGTCACAGCAGTGCCACTCAGCCCTGCACCCCACTTCTGCCATACGCTGCTCTTACCTGCTTCGGTTTACATTAATGAATATGCGCCCTCTCCGGGGCAGCAGGAGCATGGCCCTGCACAGCAGCTGCGTGCTTCCAGGCTGGTGCATGTCAGAGAGGCCTCAGCCTCACCCTCCTGGTCCCTCCCGCCTCCTGAGGCCAAACTCAAAACCTCTCTCAGAGAAAGGGAGGTTGCACCCTCTGGGAAGCTGATGTAAATGTGTCTCTGGTGTGCCCTGGTGGGCATGCCTTCGCATGAGCACACATCAGAGGGACCATGGGTGCACTGCACGTGAAAGGCAGGCATGTGTGATCCCAAATACATGCCTGCCTTTGGCAGTGGCGGGCACAGGGAGGCCTGCAGCCCAGGCAGCCTCCTCTCCAAGTCCTGGTCTCTGCTCAGCACATGGTGATGGGGCTGTTTTATGGGCCTCAACCCTGCTCCAAGCAAGCCTGGTGTCTGGGGGCAGGTTCAAGACCATCTCCCATGTGGGGCAAGAGGCACCAGAAGTTTCTGTTTCACCTCCCACCAGGTGACTGCCTATGGGCAAGGCAGCAGCGAAGGCCTGAGACAGAATGTGGACGTGTGGCTGTGGCAGCTGGCAAGTGGGGCCCAGGGACAGGGTTGCAGAACCCCCTGCCGGAGGGCATCAGCCCACTCCTGGGACTGGGACTCCCACACGGGGCCCACTCTTGGGGCCTTGGTGCCCAGGCAGACTCAGACATTCACCCAGGTGTTGAGGCCCAACAGTCTCCATTTGATTCTCCTGCTCCTCTTCTCCAGGAGGGCTCCTCGGTGGTGACAATGGGGGGACAGCACCTGAGCCTGGCCCCTGATGACAGCCTCCTGGTGCTAGCTGGGACCTCGTGAGTACGCGGGGAGGCTTTCCCTGGGATCCTCAGGGTCCAGCTCTGTGTGAGCCCTGCTCATCTGTGTGTCCACAGGTATGCCTGGGAGCGAACACAAGGCTCTGTGGCCCTGTCTGTGACCCAGGACCCTGCCTGCAAGAAGCCCCTGTGGTGACCCCGTTGCCATGGCCTGAAGCAGCCACAGGTGTGCCTTGCAAGCACCCTCGAGTGCCATCCCTGCCAAACCACTCTCCCAGCCCCACCGCTTCTCTGTGTACTGCTGCTGTGTCCCCCACAGACCTGGACATTGTCGTCACCCACCCTCCTGCCTTTCTCAGCCCAGATGCCATGCCCCTGAGCGGGCAGCAACTCCCCATCTTCTCCGGCAGCCTCAGCCTACTGCCTTGCCAGTCTTGCCAGGTGGTCTACTCCTGGCCCAGCTCCTGACCATTCCTCTGTCCCTGCAGACTCAGTGCAGCACTTCCCCGCCAAGAAGGCCCTCAATAAAGGCTTCCTGGTGAACGCACACCTGTGGGTCTGCTGCAGGCAGTCATCGCTGGCGTTCCCATGTGGCCCCCAGGACCATGTGGTGTGTCTGGGGCATCAGGGCACCAGGTGACCATGGACGTGTTGGAGGGTCTGTTACTGGGCATCCTGTTTGTGGATGGGCATTCCTCACTGTGTGTGTGACTTGATCCACGCATGCTCCATGCCTGGTCCTGGGAGCACAGCCAATGTCATCTCTCCACTTCCTTCTCTGTTCTCATTAATTCTTTTTACCTTTTTTTTTTTTTTTGGAGATAGGATCTCACTCTGTCACCCAGGCTGGAGTGCAGTGGTGCGATCACAGCTCACTGCAGCCTTGACCCTCCTGGCTCAAGTGGTTCTCCCACCTCAGCCTTCTGAGTAGCTGGGACTACAGACATGCGCCACCACACCCTGCTAATATTTTTTATTCTTTCTTTTTTGTAGAGATGGGGGTTTCACCATGTTGCCCAGGCTGTCTTTTTACATAACTTTAAAACACTAGCATCTGTTGAGTTTTTTTCCAATAACAGAAGTCATCTGTGCTAACTATAGAAAACCCAGAAATACACAAAACCCCCCACCCAGAACTAACCACTGTTAATACCTAAAGACTGCGAGCAGCCTGGGGAGGGGCATGCAGTTTTACCAAGAGCTCAGCAGTGTCGGTGGGGGGTCTGGCCTTGTGCCCCCTGCCCTCCCCTGTCATGCACAGGTGCCATGTTCAAAGACTCCAGAGGGCCCCCTGAGCCTGCTGTGGGCGTCTAGGGATGCTGGAGGCCTCAGAGGCACCAGTGGGCAGAGACAAGAACGTGGAACCTGCAGCGGGCACAGCTCAGTTTCCTGGGACTTCCATGAGAAGTCAGTGAGGGCATGCACATGAGAGTGACAGATCTGGACAGAACGGGTCCCTGTGTGGACTCAAAGCTTCCTCTAGAAAAGAACACTTGAGCCCTGTCTCCCGCAGCCCCAGCCCAGTGGCTCACTGCCTTCCTACACTCCACTGGGAGCACAGAAAGACCTGCCTTGGCTGAAAAGGCTACTGGCCCTGAGAGACATCGGGACCTTCACCCACCTCTTCACCCCTAAGGGCTTTCCTCTCCCGCAAGCAAAGAAAAAACACCATCAGCCTCCTCCAAACACAAATGGTCCAGGACAGGCGCGGGCAGAGGCTCCGCGTGGCTCGTTCCTGGCCTGTAGCAATGCACTGCTCCGTGCAGGACCTGAGAAGAGGACACAGAATGTTCCAGGGAGGCCCCAGGTCAGAACACAGGTAGCCATGAGGAGAACAGTTTACTCTCGTACACAGGGCAAGCCTAATCTAGAGAGAAAGTCAGGAAAATGAGATCTGTTTTTGTGAACACTTGCTCTGTCCCAAGGAATCCCCTAGAAGTTTTTACATAAATGATATCATTTTATCCTTACAACTCTCCAAGAAGGTGGTAGAGCCTGATTTTACAGATCAGGCTCAGAGAGGTTTGGAAGTAGGGCAACTCTGTTTCTAACCCAGGCCTGTTTGCATATGAAGCTTAGGCTGGGCCTCACCACCCTGCTTCTCCCAGGGATGTCTGTCCTCAGCCTTGACCAAATGGGAGCCCAGGACAGCCAAGAGAGGCCAGGGGCCACTGTGTCTAAGACACAGAGGCCAGGCCACACATGGCAGACTGCTGACCCCAGCCAGTTAGCAGTGATGGGGTCAGGCCCTGGAGCCTAGAACCACCGCCTCCCTTGGCCCTGCTGTGCCGGGTTATCAGGAGCCTGAAGCCCTCATCTCTACCCACAGGACCAGCCCGTGGGCTCATGAGAATACCTCACCATAGGACAGCTGGACTTGTACCTTGTATGGAGCTAGCCCCAGCCTCCCACTCCCCATTCCACAGTCAGTGCTAATGGGGGCAGGGAGAGGGATGGACAAGGAGCCATGGGGAGGTACAGAGAGGGGAAATCAAGATTGTTCTGTTTGTGGGAAATGCCCCCAGGTCCCCATGCCATGGCAGTAGAAATTTGGCAGGGGCATCCCCTATGGGGCTTACTTCACCATGTACCCAGACTTGGAACCATCACAGACTTCGGAACCATCAGGAATCTGGGAGCAACTGAAAGCTGAACTGCAGTGGGCTTTCAGACACACAGCAGGCGGGCAGAGCACAAATAAGACTGGTTCCCTCCAGGCCACCAGCAGGGCGGTGGAGGTCTTCACTGACTCCCTGCTCACCTCTCCCGGGACAATGTCCTGTTGGCTCCACGGTCCCTGAAGCCAGAGCTGGTGGGGGCAGGGAGGCAGCCACCAGCCTCTATATGTAGTGGAGGAGGGGGTGTTCAGGGAGGGCTGTATGATCCTGAGAGCCACAGAACACAGGGCTGCAAATACTCTCCCGCACCTCACCCGACTGGACTTTCCTCCCACTTCAGGGTGTCTCTGGGCTTCCATCTTGCCCCTGCTGAGCCCTGCTTCTTCCTCTACCAGCAGCACAACCCCCAGGCTGGGCTTCAGAAACCTCGTGTGGTCACTCAGTGCCCCGAGGGGGAGGGAAGGAGGGGAGGGCTGCAGGGTTCCCCTTGGCCTACAAACAGGAACACAGGGTGTTTCTCAGTGGCTGTGAGAATACTGATGAAACTCCCCGGATGTTGTGTCACCGTGGTGGGCGGCTGATAGTGCCAATCATCCCACTTTGTCCTGGCCACTCCTGCAGGGGTAGAAGACTCCAAAACCTTCTCTCAGGTCCTTGGCTCAAGCAGCCCATGGAACTTCATAACCTGAGTTCTCCCTCTCCCTCTCCCTCCTCCTCTGTCCTCCCTCCCTCCTTCCCTCCCTCACCCTCCTCCACTCCCTCTGCCTTTACCACTGTGGGGGAGTCCTCTGAAGGGCTCTGCCACCCCACCTCTTCCTCGCTGGTGTCTGCTTTCCTGGCACCGATCCTGGCCCTGGAGTTTGTCCTGGGCCTGGTGGGGAACAGCTTGGCCTTCTTCATCTTCTGTGTCCACACGCGACCCTGGACCTCCAACACGGTGTTCCTGGTCAGCCTAGTGGCCGCTGACTTCCTCCTGATCAGCAACCTACCCCTCCGCGTGGACTACTACCTCCTCCAAGAGATCTGGCGCTTTGGGGCTCCTGCCTGCAAAATCAACCTTTTCATGCTGTCCACCAACCGCACGGCCAGCGTCGTCTTCCTCACAGCCATCGCGCTCAACCGCTACCTGAAGGTGGTGCGGCCCCACCACGCGCTGAGCCGTGCTTCCGTGGGGGCAGCTGCCCGGGTAGCCGGGGGACTCTGGGTGGGCATCCTGCTCCTTAACGGGCACCTGCTCCTGAGCACCTTCTCCGGCCCCTCCTGCCTCAGCTACAGGGTGGGCACGAAGCCCTCGGCCTCACTCCGCTGGCACCAGGCGCTGTACCTGCTGGAGTTCTTCCTGCCACTGGCGCTCATCCTCTTCGCCATCGTGAGCATTGGGCTCACCATCCGGAATCGTGGCCTGGGCGGGCAGGCAGGTCCGCAGAGGGCCATGCGTGTGCTGGCCGTGGTGGTGGCCGTCTACACCATCTGCTTCTTGCCCAGCATCATCTTTGGCATGGCTTCCATGGTGGCCTTCTGGCTGTCTGCCTGCCGCTCCCTGGACGTCTGCACACAGCTCTTCCACGGCTCCCTGGCCTTCACCTACCTCAACAGCGTCCTGGACCCTGTGCTCTACTGCTTCTCTAGCCCCAACTTCCTCCACCAGAGCCGGGCCTTGCTGGGCCTCACGAGGGGCCGGCAGGGCCCAGTGACTGACGAGAGCTCCTACCAACCCTCCAGGGAGTGGCGCCACCGGGAGGCCTCTAGGAAGGCGGAGGCCATAGGGAAGCTGGAAGTGCAGGCCGAGGTCTCTCTGGAAAAGGAAGGCTCCTCCCAGGGCTGAGGGCCAGCTGCAGGACTGCAGTGCTGTGGGGGTAAAGGTTGCCGCACTCTGGCCTGGAGGGACAAGGCCAGCACACGGTGCCTCAAGCAACTGGACAAGGGATGGCAGCAGGCCAGGGTCCAGGCCAAAGCACTGGCAGGACTCAGGTGGGTGACAGGCAGAGAAACCCGCCTGGGCCCCTCAGTGTGTCCAGGATGGCGTTCCCAGAATGCAGAGGAGAGCAGGATGCCAGGTGGAGGAGACAGGCAGGGCGCTGTGGGCATGCCAGCTCAGACAGGGGCCTGCGCAGCTGCAGGGGCCAGAGGCCAATCACTGTCACAGCAGAGTCGCCTTAGAAATTGGACAGCTGCATGTTCTGTGCTCTCCAGTTTGTCCCTTCCAATATGAATAAACTTCCCTTCTAAATACATTTATTTGCAAGACCAAATACATGTCTTTAGTTCTAACCTGGGACTGTCAGTAGGCATCAAAGTGAGTGCCCCAAGGCGAAGGGAAACTTGGGAGAGAGTGGGGAAGCTATCCCGCAGCCCCGTCCCAGGGGGCTCTGTCCTTCCCAGAACTTCTGGGACGCCCTGGCATGCCCTGAAAAGCAGAACTGCTTTCCTGGGTGAGGGCCTCAGGCCACCAGGGCTCCAGGCCCTCGGGTACAGTTTGATGCTGAGGACCTAACATCCCTCCCCAGTTCCCTTAATCCACTTAGCCCAACCCTCTCATATCATGGACAGCATGCACCCCAGCTACTAAAGTCGTCAGGAATGGAAGTGAAAGCCCCGGAGTGTTGCACACAGACCAGGAGAGTGGTGTCAAGGGTCCGTGTGGATGCTGGGGAGGGAGCCAGAGAAAAAGTATCAGGCAGAGGGAGGCGGGCCTGGGAAGGATGGGCAGGTGAGTACCGGACCCCACCTCCACCGTGTATCTCCAGCCCACTCCCCTGTTCTGAAAATCTACCTGCTGCACTCAGAAACCTACCGAGGTACTGGGGTGCCACCTGGGCCCCCTCCAGGGTTGCTCTTCTGTCTCTCGGCTCCCCATGGGGCCCCTCTTGCCCCCTCACCTCCTACTGCTCCCTTTTACTCCCTGGAGCCACGCCTAGGGGTTTCTTCACGCCCTCCGTGAGCCGCCTCAGCCTGAGTCAGGTCTTTTAGAAAAGGCCCGCACACTCCTGGAGGGGTGGGGACTGAGCGGTTCCTTCGGGCAGATCCCCACCTGGGGTGCCAACACTTGCTGCCAGCTCAACACCAGGCACCTTTCCTCTGGTACCATCTCTGCCTCCAAATGTGCCCACCTGGGCTCAGGGCAGCTCCACGGGCCATTTCCTCAATCTCCTCTTCCCTGGACCCTTCTCCTACCAACTCCTCCCTCAAGTCCTCCCACCTCCCCCAGCACCTGCACTCACTTCTTCATGACCTGATGGAAGGGAAATGGGCAGATACTCCCATGGTTCACAGGCATGTCTGTAGTCCTGTCTTTTCCCATCAAGGGAGGGAGCAGAGGCCGCCCTTGAGGAGTTCCTGGGTAGATGCTGGTCACGGGGTTCAGGTCCGCACTCCTAACCTGCCCTGGATTCTCCTTGCCCCCCATCTTGACCCTGAGGACTGCTCCTCTGCTGATGTTGGGGCACACCGCCCTTCCCCGCCTCTCCATCCTTTGCAAGGCCTTCTGTAAAGGGGGCTGGGTGCTCCCTCATGAAGCAGGCTTCAGGCTGCCCCCACATGGAGGTAGGACTGACTCCCTGGTCCTAACCATGGCCGCAGCCCACTGTACGCTTCTCTGGACTTAGTTCTCCATCTGTGAATAGGAATAGTGATCCTGGCCCTTGCCCAGCTCCAGGGGCTGGGGATGGGAGTAACTATATGCCCAGAGCACTTGGTGAGGAAGGCAGTTATGTGGAGCAGGGAGGGCAGAAGGAAGAGGAGTGGGAAGAGAAAGAAAACTGTGTTTAAGTGCAGGGTTTCCTAGAGATGTAGTAGTACCCATGGTGGTATAACGGGAGCTGGGGACAGGCTGAGACCCCGTTTCCTACATTTGGGTTCTAAATGGCATTTTGGTCTCAGGGACAGGCTGCACTATCCAGTGTGAATTTTGGGCAGCGTCTTCCACCTTTTTTTCTCTTCTTTCTCCTAACATAAACTGCCACCCTAAGAGAGGATCAGATGGTACGCCTTACATTCCTCCAGGGACTCCTGAGCAGGGGGGGCAAGCAGGCAGGGCTGGGTGACAGGCAAGCAGGCAGGGCTGGGTCACAGGCCAGCAGTCACTAACTTGCCAGTGTTTGCTGGGCACCTGCCATGGGCCAGACACTAAGCTACAAAGGCAGACAATTGTACTCTCACCTTGGGCCTCCCAGGCTAAGCCGGGGAGAGCCGGACCTGCAAATGGAACCAGTGCAATGCAACGCAGGAAGTCAGGGTCTTTTAGGTGGTGATGCACCCTGAGAGCAGAGGCTTGAAGAGCTGACTCCGCCTGGGCTGTCAGGTAAGTGATGCACATAAGCTGGATCTTAGAGGATGAGGAAGGAGAGAAGAGAAAGGCGTCCCTGGTACTGGAAGAGCATGGCCAGAGCATGCAGCTGTGGGAATACTCAGTGTGCAGGGGCGTGGGGAGGAGATCACTGAGGCAAGAGAGTAGGAGGCCTACCACAGAGCTAGAGGATAGGCGGGAAAGGGAGAGGACCAGACCCAGAAGGGCCCTGGTGCCAAGCCCGGGAGTCTGGGTGGATCCTGCAGACAGTATGGCAGGAAAGGGGTGTTAAGTGGAAGATGATGATTGGTTTGCATTTTCTTCAGTTAGTCTTGGCAATAACATGAGAGTAGGGGACGTGGGAGATGACGTATGTAGGAAATGTCTGTATTCCAAGCAAAGGCCTGAAGAAAGGCCGCAGCAGAGACCACAGAGGGTCCAGATGGGGAGGCTGTGTGGGTGACACACTGAGAATGCAGGTGATGGAGCGGGTTTGGAGGTAAAACAAGTTGTAGGGGCTTGGAAGACACCCAGGCAAATATGTACAGTAGCACACTTCGGACTGGAGATAGGAGCAAGGATCTTCCACTCACCAGGGCTCTGGGAAAGAATGTGGTCATCTGTTGAGAATGAAGAGAATCAAGAACCATCCTTTTAAAAATCCCTGCAAGTAAGGGGAGCATGTAGGAAAACCCAGTGAAATACTCAGAAAACAAACAAACACACACACAAAAAGCCTTTAAGCAGGAAAAAAGCAGGACTGCAGAAGAAAAGAAGTCAAGGCAATCTTCACCCAAGTAAAGAGATTGCCCACTAAAAAGAATAGAATCAAGCCATCTTTTATGAAGGTAAAAGCCAAACATAAAATACCCAGACAGTCTGCAAAGTGCCTCCTGCAAGAACAGAGCATCATGCAGGAACAGAGCATTTTCAAAAGTGTTTCCTAATTACATATTGAAGAGAGTTGATCTGAAAACCAGTGTCCATGTCTGACACTGTCTGGTCAATTAACACTGGATGGACAACCTGGATTAACAATGCACTGTCTGGGTCTGTTTTTTAAAAGCTTTTCCAAAAGTGATAGGTTGTCATTGTATGAAATTTAATCATATGCAAAACATGTTCTCTATCATTTATGGATTCATACATATGCATTAATGGTATAAAATCATGTATGGGATGATAAACACTAAATTAAAGAGAGTACTTACTTCTGAGATGGAGGAAAATGGGAAGGGGCACACAGGTGACTTACTACTAGATCTGAAATTATCTTTGTAAAAAAAATCTGAAACACGACAATGAGTGACATCTGCATGTTACTTAGCATTGCTTTGGGTAGAGAATAAACGGATCAGTGTTAACGAAGGAAGAAAATTCATATGGCTACAACAGTTTCAAATGCTCAAGAAAGCTCAAAGAGGATGACTTAAGAATAGCACTGGATTTAACAATTAGAAGGTCGTTAAATGTGACTTTATTGACAGCAATTTCAGTGAGTGGATGGGGGTGGGGGCAGAATGGAAGCCATAAAGTGCTATAATGGGTTGAGGAATTAATGAGATTTGAAGTAATGGAGACAACTCTTCCCCTTTCAACAAATGTGCCAGTAAAAGGAGAAAAGATAATAGCTTTAGATGAAACTAAGCAGAGGACAGATGTTTTGGTGGTTTGACTGTTCTGTTATTTGGTGGATTGGATGAAGATATTTTAAATACAGGAGGAGAAGGGAGAAAAGAAAAATATTGGGGAGGGCCGGGCGCGGTGGCTCAAGCCTGTAATCCCAGCACTTTGGGAGGCCGAGACGGGTGGATCACGAGGTCAGGAGATCGAGACCATCCTGGTTAACACGGTGAAACCCTGTCTCCACTAAAAAATACAAAAAACTAGCCGGGCGACATGGCGGGCGCCTGTAGTCCCAGCTACTCGGGAGGCTGAGGCAGGAGAATGGCGTAAACCTGGGAGGTGGAGCTTGCAGTGAGCTGAGATCCGGCCACTGCACTCCAGCCTGGGTGACAGAGCAAGACTCCGTCTCAAAAAAAAAAAAAAAAGAAAAAAGAAAAATATTGGGGAGGAGGGGAATGATGTTGGGGACTGGTATGTACCAGGCCTTCTTCTAAGCATTTTACACATATGAATTTTTTTAGTCCTGATGGAGATTGCATTATTATCCAATTTTACAGATGGAAACACTGAGGCACAAAGAGGTTGAATAATTTGCCCAAGGTTATCCAGCTAGTAAGTGGCAGTCTGGCCTGAGTCAGGACACTATTACAAGGCCCTAAGGGGGCAGAAGGGTGAATCCAGCTCAAGGGTGGCAGGAGGGTCTGTCCCCAGAAGATAGAGGCTGCCTCCTTGAGCTGGAGCAATGGCACTATTTCAGTAGGTCTTGGGACAGAGGGAATAAAGCTGAAGGGATTCTTAGAAGCTGCAGCTTTCAGGGGATAAGAGCTTAAAAAGTGGCAAAGGATTGGAAGAGTTGGTTCTGGAAAGAAAACAAGCTCCCAAAAAACATAGAAAAGGGTCACTAAGCAAGTGGATCAAAGGGGCCTGGTGAGTTGAGCACCCTGACGAGTTAAGCTGTGAGGTCGTGAATAGGTGGTGTAGTTCCTCCAGCAACCTCTGCACCCAGGAGCAGAATCAGAAGAAACCGAGGGTAAAACTTATCCAGGGAGGGGCAGAAGAAACCTTCTAGGAAGGCTGATGATAAAAACCCAGTCCTGGTATGGAGCCTAAGGTCAGCCCCCTTGAGAGATATGGCATGCAACACTCCAAGCTACAGAGGAGCTTCCAGAAAAAGGGAGGTGATATTTGATTTTGCATTAAAAGCCTTAATTAAACAACCAACCAACCAACCAAACATTAAGAAGGCCAGGCGCAGTGGCTTATGCTTGTAATCCCAGCACCTTGGGAGGCCAAGGAGGGCAAATCACCTGAGGTCAGGAGTTCGAGACTAGCCTGGCCAACATGGTGAAACCCCCATCTCCACTAAAAATACAAAAATTAGCCGGGCATGGTGGCGTGCACCTATAGCCCCAGTTACTTGGGAGGCTGAGACACGAGAATTGCTTAAACCCAGAAGGTGGAGGTTGCAGTGAGTTGAGATCACACCATTGCACCCCAGTCTGGGTGACAGAGCAAGACCATGTCTGAAAAAAAGAAACAGAAAAAGAAAAAAATAAGCTTAGTGTCTCCTTTTAAGAAAATATTTCAGAAAGCCCAGTAAACAAGAGTCACAAATATATACATACTTCATAAACACAGGCTGGAGGGGTCCCAAGGGAGCCAAGCTTCACCCCCCCACCCCCATAATGACCTTGGCACAGCAGCTGAGACAGTCTACACAGCCAGCCAGCCAAAGAGCAAACCCTCTGCTGGGGCACAGCAGCCTTCCTCAGCGCACCACCCGAACACCCCAGCACCCAGGTGCACAACCCAGCACTGGCCACAGCAGGGCACGAGCCACGCTGCCGGGTAGTTCACAAGAAAAAGGCTGCTTATTGCACCTCATACCTCCAGGCCTGGGGGCACAGGATCAAAGGCCTCCTACTGGGATGACCTGGCCTCATGAAACTTCCATGTCCCTAGGATGTGACTTATGAGACAGCAGAAGAAGATGCAGACCCTGGGGAAAGGCCTCTGAGAGTCTCAGTGCAGCTGGGGCACAGCAGACCAACTGGCCTGGCCTGTTACCTCCTGGGGGCCCTCGGAGCTCAAGGTTCTGAAACAAGGACCACCTGATGCTGGGCCTAGGGGTACACACACACAGTCTTACACCTGAGTCACCATCCTAGTAAAGAACAGCGTAAAACCAGGCAAAATTTCCAGGAATTTATTGGAAACACAATACAAATTAGTTAGTAGATGGCATCTTCTTACAGACAGACAGTCCACACTGTGGTATCATGCTCAGAATGAATTATCCTGGGGAAACACTCATGAGCATGGGTGTGTGCTCTGGGTTAGCTTCCCTGGCAGGGAAAATCAGAGACACGGTGCAGAGGAACAGGAGGAGTGGACAGAAAACTGGGACATGGCCTTCCTGGGGGGAATGGTGAGGAGGGGCTGCTAACTGGGTAAATTTCCCCAAAGGAAAACAGGGACAACAGTAAAGAATAAAGGCTTCCCCCTCCCTCCCCAAAACCGTTTCCTCCATGGCAGAGTAAAACAGAATCTCCAAACACCCACAGGGCAGCTCCTCCGCCTCCCCTCGCCAGGGACTTGGCAGCAGTGGGGCACGAACACCAGGCTCAGACATGACACCGAGTGCACCGAGGCCACGCACAGCCCCACCTGCTTGCCCTCAGCCTGCTGTTCTGCTCTGCTCTGAGTGGCAGGGGACTGACCTGGTGGGTTGCCTGTCCCAGGCTCCCAGGGCAGCTGCTTCCAACTGGGTTTCACTATTGTGAGGCACTTGCAGGACTCTGGAGGCCAAGAGGAGGGGAGAGGCCGGGGTCCCCTCTCTCCGCCTGGGGAAATGTTTCTGACAAGAACCATGGCTTCTCAAGACTCCAGCTACCACCAGACAGGTCCGCGGTATGGCAGGTCCCCCAGTGGCCTTGGCCCCAGGCTCTGGTGACGCGTCCTCCCATGGCGCCCAGCCAGTTTCAGGATGGGGGCAGCTTGCTGTTGCTGTTCCCACCTCTGGGTTGCCCCTCACTCCCCTGTTTTGCCTCTCAGCTTTTCTTGTTTTGTGTTAAACAAATCTCTGGATGAAAACCCCCTTTTGAAATCCATTTTCCTGGGTGGGCCCTGAGCGATGGAAACTGGGCTGTGCACAAGGGGAACTGTGAAGGGCAGGCTGAAACCTTCCAACAACACCCTCCAGCCGGCCCTCCTCTCTTGTGCACCTTTAAGAAGTGAAGGGTGGGCAGGCGATGACTGAGCCAGAGGGGGAGACGCCCTGCAGAGCCTGTGTCCTCACCCCAGCGGCATGTCTGCTGGGGGCTGAGCAGACAGTCTCTGCACGTCCACCCATGTGCTCACTGAACCACAGTGACATGCCACTGACACAAAGCAGCGACACCGTGGCCCCAGAAAGGGAGGGGGTGGTTGGGAAACCCTCTCAGCACCAAATGCTTCCCACAGCAAAGGCACAGACTAGAGGCGCCTCGGCATCCTTCCTCCATTGCCTGGGGGAGTCTGTCAGAACCAGGGGGCAGTTTCCAGAGACAACAGGAGAGCTTGAAGTCTCAGTCAATATAACCCTCCTAGGATGATGGGACTGCAGAACCATGAACTTTACTTACAAGAGGAAGGAAAAGCCTGCTTGGCACATGTAGCTCGAACAAGCTGTGCTTTTCCCAAAGCCAAATTTCAACTGGATAGACAGGAGGGGCCTCCCTTCTCCTGCTTCAGACCTGGCCTGACTCCTGTCTCCAAATCTCTTGGGCCTGGGTGAGAGGGCCTCTCCCAAAAGGCAGAGAAAATGAAGCTGGCAGCTGAGTCATGGGTAGCTAATTGTTTCCAGAATCTGCAGTCATCACTTAACAGGGGTTCAGAAAGAAAGTGAAAGGGTGAGGGAAGCATTTCCCCTTCTGGGTCCAAGTACGACGATAAATCCAGAGCAGGGCACAGACGGACAACTTTCCTGTGTCTTTTTCTTTCGGGAAGAAACATCCCACATGATGCGGCACTTGGAGAGCAAAGACCTCCTCCCAGGTCTCTGGTGAAGGGACCCATCAGTGGGAACCCTGAGAACACCTGCTTGCCACCTCCACCCATCTCACCAAATGCTTCTGACACAGGCCCCACCCTCGGGGCCCCAAGCCAAGACCCAGTACGGCTCCAAGAGTGGGTGGTGGTAGAAACACCCCATGATCGCCCTTGCAGAAGCCTGAGATGAGAACCAACTCCTCCTCAGAAAAGAAGCTGAGATGTCTGCAAAACCGCCCTCCACCTCACACACCACGCTCTCTCTGCCAAGCGGAGCCCAGCCTCCGAGGACACAGACATCTAGAGCATCATTACCCTTACTGTGTTACCTCGTTCTTCCCAGGGGGTCAATTCAATTGTAGCCACTCGGTCTTGCAACGACGACTTGGCTATCTGGGCCTCTCATACCTGCTATCCAACTGTCTCCCAGTAACCCCAGAGATGGCTGGGAGGTCAGACTCCAGTTGTCTTTCATGGGACTGTGACCCTGCGCCCCATGGCCTATGCCTGCAAACAGAGGGCAGGGGAGTTGCCAGCCTCACATCTGCCCAGGGAGCTCATCGGGCGCTGAGCTATTCCTATCCTTGCAGTTGCCAGCACAGAGCAGCTGAGTGGCCAACTGCGATGCCACCAAGGGCTGCTGCCGAGGGCAGGTGGGAAACGCCAAGAGCCCAAGCCAGAGAAGCAGACAGGTCCCTGGGGCCTAGGTCACATGTGCTCACAGGATGTTGGGCTGGAGGGGTGGGGTCATGGGGTTGGCCATACAGACTCATACCCACAAACACAGTTCTCTCACTCCACGCCCCTGGGCCAAACAGAGTCTGTCTGCTTAAAATGAAACTAGGTCATTTGTGGCCTGCTGAAGGACCCACCTGGCAGCAGTTCTTCATCAGCTGGTGTGGCTGCAAGGGAACAGGGCAGTAAGCAAACGGCTTGTCACAGTGATACACACGCTTGGCACTTTTAACACCTGCTCTTGCTGGAGCTGTCTGGGACCAAGCAGAGCCGGGCAGAACACCAGCTTCTCTCCAACTACAAAACACAGATGATGAGTTTACAGGCTTATCTTTTGTCAGAACCTCAGGCAACTCTGTTCCTTGGAGGAGTAGGAGGGAGGGTCACATACAGGAATGCCGGGGACAAACAGCAGATTCTCCCATTTCAAAAAAAAAAAAAAGTATGAAGCCTATGGAGAAAAAGCTGAGTGACGGTAACAGCAAGGACAGGGAAATACCATGAACCTCATAAACACTGGCACATTTCTTAAGAAAAATCCACTCAGAAAGATGCCATGGCCCTCCTGTACATATTTAGTAACTATACAGCATAAGACCGAGCTGAGCGGACACATGCAGGGTGACAGCGGCTCTGAGCTCGCAGCAGCCCCCCACTGCCAAGTGACCACTGTTGCTGGGAGGGGCACAGGGTGCTGCAGAAGGGAGGAGGTGGAGGGGTTCCCTCAGCCCCTCACTTCTCAGCAGGTCTCGCTCTGTAACAGCGAGGTCTCTGACAAGAAAGCGAAGTGCTGCTGATCCACACGTGGAGACACAGGATTTGGAACGTGCACTCCCACAGTTCCTTCCCCGCCCCATTGCGTCTCCATGGATGCACGCAGAGGTCTCCCACTGAAATGTACTGGGAGTGGGGCTGCCTCCTTCCCAGGCACGACTGTGAACATCAGCAGGACAGTGCAGCAAGTCTTGGATTGTAGAATGAATCAGGGAAAGCTCAGTCTGACACACAGCACGTGAGTTCTAGAAAAGGGAAGAAACAGGGTGAAGGTTAAACAAGTCCTGATGGTGGAGGCAAGATGAAAGGGAGGATGGACTCAGCCCTCCCAACATCACAACCTTCAGGGAAAGGAGGTTCAGCAGTAGGTCAAAGAAAATCTCATGACTAGGCCAGGTGTGGTGGCTCACACCCATAATCCCAGCACTTTGGGAGGCCGAGGCAGGTGGATGGCTTGAGGCCAGAAGTTCAAGACAGTCTGGACAACATAGCAACACTCTGTCTCTACAAAAATAAAAATAAAAAATTAGCTGGCTGTGGTGGTGCATGCCAGCTACTCAGGAGGTCAGCTACTGACCAGTAGTCCCAGCTACTCTGGAGGCTGAGGTGGGAGGAATGCTTGAGCTCACAAAGCCAAGGCTGCAGTGAGCTGTGATCGCACCACTGCACTCCAGCCCCAGTGACAGAGCAAGACCCTGTCTGAAAAAAAATAAAAATAAAAAAAAAGGCTCACAACGTAGTTTAACGCTGGATCAAAGGGAAAGTTTAATTAAAGCCAATAAAATATATAACTGATACTGAAGGATGGAAAGATCTTAAAAGCTGGGTTTTGAATAGGTGGGTTTAGTGGTCACTGGAAAGGTGCTACAGTACACCAGGCAAGAGAAGAGACTCATGGAACTTCCCTGACGGATACTAAGGAATGGGGAACAGAGTTGGCTGGGAGGAGGCACGATCTCATCTGAGCTCATCATAATTAATCATAATGATGTGGGCACCCAGAGGCTATGAACACATTTCTTGTAGGAGGGGAGTGAACCTCACTCTCCCACAGTGTCAGGAACTATTCCTATGTCCCTCACTCCCACCCCCTCCACTTCCCCGAAAACCTTCAACTCTGACCATCTGGAGACTACAGTAGAAACAAGTAAATGAAAAAGCAGAAGTGGCCTGCAAACCACATCACCACCGTGTTGTATTACTCAGAAAGTTGTGAAAGCTTTTACTTAGTTATTAGGAAAGTGGCTAGGAGGGGTTGTTTGCTGAGAAGAGGTAAGATGCTCAGATATTCTCTGCCCCAGGCACACCACCCTGCAGCCAGGAAATGACCCAGCAATGCTCACCTTCACAGCCTCAGGGCATGCCGAGGAAGGGCTGCAGGATGGAGCAGAGCTGTGCTTTCACTTCATGAGCTTTTCTAGGATAGGGAAGATATATGTACCCAACTTGGTATTTGATATGAGCTCAGCAAATGTGTGTTAAATAAAGGCCCAGATAAATTCAGTTTAGGAATCAGGCTAACCTTGCTTTATTGAACACACTGTAGGTTATGTAACTGTCTTATTTAACCTTCAGCAGAATCTTGGGAGTGTCAGAGAGGTTAAGAACTTGCTCAAGGTCATAGTAAGTAAGCTGAGGAGTCAAGGTTTGAATTTATATCTTTAATTTGGGTCAAGTTTTTCCTACTACACCAAGCTGCTCATTCTCCATCCAGCCTAGTGTTCTGCTAACAGCCCAGTAAGAGCATCCTGACCTCCTCAGTGTCTAAATGGAAGGTTATGTATGTGTCAGCGTCTCCTAGGAGCTACTCTCTCTTTTTGTATTTAGTGGAGCAGGAGCTCTGTCATTCATCTGTCTAAACCCTTATGGAATTAAATCACCTATCAAAAGAGCTGCTTTTAATAGTTTCCCAAGTTTCTAGCCCGCCATGGAAAATTGTGCTTTTATTTGTGCCAATCTTGCCTGCTGCAGTTTCAGAGACAACCCTCTTCTCCTAGCATCTCAGGTTCTGGTGCCCAGGCTCCAATCTGCCTTCTCCACCCTGGCCACAGTTTTCAGTTGAGACAGGCCACCTCTCTGTATTCTAGGCTGAAGAATCCCAGTACTTACCACCTGCCCTTATCAGGTTATCACTTCACTCTCCTCTGCTCAGAGCTTCCCCAGATCCTCTGCATTTCCTTGAAGCAGGAACAAGAGCCAGATACAGAGACTCAGCACAGTAGCACAGGCAGAGAGCCCCAGGAGAGGTCTGTATCAATTCTCAGTCTCCTTCCTAGACCATGATGTAGCCCAAATCATTTCTCTTTTTGTTTATTTATTCTCAAATGTGTTAACCTATATTTGCCACTTTGGTATGTACTCACCCTGACAGACAGGCACTTATTTGGTTTTTTTGGGGTTTTTTTTGCAAAATTTTCCCTAATGGTTTGACTACTCAGAAGTACTTGAAGTCCATGGACTTGGAGATTCTGCACTTGAATCAACCAGTCCAATGAAAACAGCCTAGCCAGCTAGTTGCTGCCTTCTGAGTTAGTTTCCTTCCCTTCTGAAAATCAGAGAAGAAACCATCATCAGAATTTTAGAGGCTAGAAAGCAGATAAATGAGTGAAAACAGACTATGCACTCAAGATAGACAGACTTGAAGTTTCAGTGTGGAAGGCTGAGGACCCAATTTGTCCAGAGAACCCCAAAGGGCTCATGAAATGATACGAGGTACCTCTGGAAGTGGGGGAGGGGACTGAAGCAAGGAAGAGGAGTTAAAGGCTCTTTGAGAAGCAGCTGGATCGCAAGAAGCTCTCCCGACTCCACACCACCAGGCAACTGGCTATGTCCCACCAGTCAGGACATTTATTCTCTGAAGAGGACAAAAACAAGTTTCAGGCCTAGGGGGCACTAGGTACCATGCACAACTAAGGACAAGGCTACAATTCTAACAGAGAGAGATCAAGTGAACCTATATCCACTGAATGGTGAGCCTCCAGCCTTCTTCCCATGAAACTCTCAGAATGCAGGTAACAAACCTTTATCCTCTGGGGAACAGATAGGAAGAAACTTCTCTGGGGAATCTGACAAGCCCATGATAAAATACCTAAAGAAACTGACATTTATGGTCCAAACATCAGGCCAACCTGATCACCCTACAGTGAACTGCACTACAGGTTCTGCCAAGAACAGGCACAGAGGTTTCACTCTGATTTTTAGTCTCCTACTTTTAAACATTATTTGACAACAAAGGTCACCAGGGGAAAAGAAAAAAAAAAAACAAAAAACCTCTAACACAAGTGTTAGAGACCAAATAACAAATAATCAACAGAAGAATACAAATTGGAAGAAACAGAGAGAAGAAATAGAGAAGAAAACTTAAAAAACAAAAAACACTGCTGGGCGCGATGGCTCACGCCTGTAATCCCAGCACTTTGGGAGGCCAAGGCAGGCAGATCACGAGGTCAAGAAATCAAGACCAGCCTGGCCAACATAGTGAAACCCCGTCTCTACTAAAAATACAAAAATTAGCTAGGCATGGTGGCACGTGCCTGTAATCCCAGCTACTCAGGAGGCTGAGGCTGGGGAATCACTTGAACCCAGGAGGCGGAGGTTGCAGTAAGCCAAGATTGTGCCACTGCACTCCAGCCTGGTGACAGAGTGAGACTCCATCTCGAAACAAATAAATAAATAAATAAAATAAAAATAAAAAGCCACTATCATTAATATCCTCAGAGAAGAAAAGATCTGTGAAAGATATGTATCTATGAAACATAAATAGTATGTTATTTTTTCTTAACTGAGAGGAACAGGAGGGGGAACCACATAGAAGGATTGAGGAGTTTTGCTTCCTATCATGGTAGACTAATTTGCCTAATCCTCCAGCCAGTAACAGTGATAAACTCAGGACAAAATATAAAGAACAACTGTTTGAGGCCAGGTGTGGTGACTCATGCCTGTAATCCCAGCACTTTGGGAAGTTGAGGTGGGAGGATCACTTGAGGTCAGGAGTTCAAGACCAGCCTGGCTAACACGACGAAATCCCGTCTCTACTAAAAATACAAAAATCGGCCAGGCATGGTGATGGCTACCCAAAATTCTAGCTACTTGGGAGGCTGAGGCAGGAGAATTGTTTGAACCCAGGAGGCGGAGGTTGCAGTGAGCCAAGATCATGCCACTGCACTCCAGCACGGGTGACAGAGCGAGACTCTGTCTCAAAAATACAATAAAATTTTTAAAAAAGAACAACTGTTTGAAAGTACTAGAGAGCAATCAAAATCAGGTAAAAATTGGAGGGGCTATGAACCTAGAAAAAAGTGAGACAAGGTAAGAAAAAGTGAGACAAGGTGAGAGCCACTCTTAAGTGTCTTTGCCTGTGAGCATGTTCATGCAGTACGAGATGAATATATTTCAGGCAGAAAGCTACAGCCTACTGGGCTGAGGAACCAGAAGTCAATGCAGCTGGAAACTGAGGGAAGAGATCTTACAGAGGAAGGAGACACAGAAGGGGGAGCCCTCAAATCTACATACAAACTCCCCTCACATTACTTGCTTATTTCTGAACTATGCAAGTACAGGGTGAGATTCCCAGGAGTCCAATGGAAAACATCAGCTAGAAGGCTCAAAGAGCCGAGCAGTGACTTCAGGAGCTGTCCAGTGCTGCAAAGACAGAATTTGGAGTTCAAATTCTGTGAAGTTAAAGGGGCCTGGTAAACAACTTGGTCTTTCCACTGAAATCCCATGGGAATAAGGACAAAATTGAAATAGGTGAGGCTTAATAAAGCTTTAAACCAAACCTCCAATGTAAGTCCTTTCTAGAACAAAATTTGCCACTCTGCAAAGGAAAATAACAGAATCCTGAGTCTTTATAACTCATCATTCACACTGACCCAGTATGCATTTAAAAATGATTGGACATAGCCAGCTGCAGTGGCTCATGCCTGTAATCCCAGCACTTTGGGAGGCCGAGGCGGGTGGATCACCTGAGGTCAAGAGTTCGAGACCAGCCTGGCCAACATGGTGAGACCCCATCTCTACTAAAAACACAAAATTAGCCGGGCATGGTGGCGCATGCCTGTAATCCCAGCTACTCAGGAGGCAAGGCTGGAAAATCGCTTGAACCTCGGAGGCAGAGGCTGCAGTGAGCTGAGATTGCGCTATTGCACTCCAGCCTGGGCAACAAGAATGAAACTCTGTCTCAAAAAAAAAAAAAAAAAAACAAAAACAGATTAGACATGAGAAACAAGAAAATGCAACCCATAATCAAAAGAAAAAACAGTCCCTAGATTAATGGATAATTCAGATGTTAGAATTCGTAGATATGGACTTAAAATATTTACTATAAATATGCTAAAGAATCTATAGAAAAAGACGAGCATAACGGGTGACAAGGTAGGGAATTTTAGAAGTATAAAATAACTAAATGGAAATCTGAAAACTGAAAAATACAAAATCTAAAATGAAAAATGTGTTGGATGGGACTAATAGCAGCTTTGATACTGTAGAAGAAGTAATCAGTCAACTTGATGACAGAACTCTAAAAATCATCCAAAATGACAGAGTACACACTGTATGACTGCATTTATATATAATTCTAGAAAACAGGCCAGGCACGGTGGCTCACGCCTGTAATCCCAGCACTTTGGGAGACCAAGGCAGGTAGATCACGAGGTCAGGAGATGGAGACCATCCTGGTCAATACGGTGAAACTTTGTCTCTACTAAAATACAAAAAAAAAAAAAAAAAAAAAAAAAAAATGTAACTGGGTGTGGTGGCACATGCCTGTAGTCCCAGATGCTTGAGAGGCCGAGGCTGGGGAATCGCTTGAACCTGGGAGGCAGAGTTTGCAGTGAGCCGAGATCGCGCCACTTCACTCCAGCCTGGCGACAGAGGGAGACTCCGTCTCAACAAAACAAAACAAAACAAAACCTAATTCTAGAAAATGTAAATGAACCTATAGTGGCAAAAAACACATCAGGGGTCACCTGGGGGTGAGGTGGGGGAGATGGGGAGGGCAGGTGGGAGGATTATAATGGGGTGCAAGAAAACTGTTGAGGGTGATGATTAAGTTTATTATTTTGATTGTGGTGATGGTTTCCTGCTATATATATTTCAAAACTTATTAAATTGTTTATTTTAATAATATACAGTTTACCAAATGACAATGATATCTTAATAAAGCTATTAAAATGGTAATGAAAAATGGCTTTGTAGGTAGGATATAAACAAGCTCTGTGGGAGTTACATAATAACTGGTTACATGTTGGTCAAAGAGAGAGATTCTGTTTTCTGAGGCCTGCTCTTGAGGCTTTAAGTGCCCCAACAGTGTAACAAGCGCTATGGGAGTTATCAGTCAGGAATTTCCCTTGTGCTTGTTAGACTGTTGGGGCCCCTCAGAGCTTCAAGAGCAGACCTCAGAAAGCAGAATCTCTCTCCCTGACCTTCTCCTGCCCCCCTTTCACCTGCTCCTTTTTTTCCCCAAGGCAGACCTTAGAAACCAAAAACATATGCTAGTCTTCCACACCCCCACCCCCGTGCCTTTCTGTCTTGGAGCTCTGACCTACCTTGTCTTCTGTTGGCCAAAAGACCCTCATTTCAGAAGGGATCCTGCCCCCCAGAGGAAGGAATGCTATACAGAGAGGTCAAGAAGAATTTGAATAGAAGGCCAGGTGCAGTGGCTCATGCCTATAATCCCAGCCCTCTGGGAGGCTGACGCAGGCAAATCACCTGAGGTCAGGAGTTTCAGACCAGCCTGGCCAACACAGTGAGATCCTGTCTCTACTAAAAATACAAAAATTAGCTGGGCGTGGTGGCATGCACCTGTGGTCCTAGCTACATGGGAGGCTGACAGGAGAATCGCTTGAACGTGGGAGACAGAGGTCGCAGTCACCTGAGATCATGCCACTGCACTCCAGCCTAGGTGAGAGAGTGAGACTCCATCTCAAAAAAAAAAAAAAAAAAAAAAAAAAAGAAGAACCTGAACAGACAAGACTTGCTGCATGTCCCCCCTCAGTCCATTTGTATTAGATTATACCATTTTGTCCAATCGCATTTCTACATGGTTGTTAATCGTGTCTACCCAATGAAGTCTCCATAAAAGGCCCAAGTGGGCAGAGTTTGGAGAGCTGCTGGAGAGCTGAATGTGTGGAGATTCTGGGAGGGTGGCGTGCCTGGAGAGGGCATGGAAGGTGCATAC